CACACACACACACACACACACACACACACACACACACACACCTTTCCATATAAGCCCTTCTCACATGAAATACCAGAGATAGCTGTATGTCCCTTCCCCCATCTGGTCCTATAAACAAAGCATACCCCCAGCTGCCTGCCCGGGACACATGACCAGAGACACACACCCAGCTTCATGCACAATGTCACACCCCATTGTCACAGCATACTGACAGCACCCTGTGAGATTTCCCCACACCATACTCCAATTGCCTGCTCAGATCTACCCACAGAAGCACATGGTAGACAGACATTCGTGCTGTCTGAGCAGGCTCGCCCACCTCCTGTCCATCACAGGTGTGTACACCTGTTTGACTGCACACCCTGCTCATAGCACCCTTCCACAGCTATCCATGAATACAAAAGTCAGGTTTAGGGACTGCTTTCCTGTTCAAGCACAGAGAGGCTAAGTAACTTGCCCCAGGTCACACAGCTATAAAGAGGTGGCGTCATGGATGAAGAACATAGAGGCTGTCTCCCTAGTCTCCACTGACCTGCTATAGTGTTCCAAAGAACATGCCTGAGGTTGGGTATCCTCACTCATCGTGTATTGCCTCTGATTTCACACACTATGAGTGTGCAGATAGTTAGCGCTCTCTTGCTTGGTACATTCACAGAGGCAAGGAAGATTCATTCATCATCCCTCAGCCTTCTTCAGTCCTGACTTCCACTTTGCCCCAGCTCCAGAAGCATCCCCAGAGTCGCTAGGGAACACCAGCACCTCCAGAGGGTGGTTCTAAGTAGCTTCTGGGTTCTTCTGCAGCTGCAGGTTCTTGGGAACGTCCTGGGATAAGCTGGAATTGGTATCATCTCAGAGAGCCCCTCTTCTTGATGCACCCACCCAGGTGCTGAGCAGCTGAGCCCATGGAGAACAGCTGTTGGTGCTGGCACAAGCGCTGAGTGGCTATGAAGTACTCTATAGTTTACAAGGCTGTTATGCATTATATGGAGGTCTCCAGCCCCTAGTGAGGGACCTCCGTGCTACCCATGAGCATCTGAGAGGCTCTAAGGAGCCAATAGGCTGCCCAAGGTCACTCTGTCCTCTACATACCAGGCTTTCTTGAAAACTGGTGTGTTCCTTTCCAAAGCTCCTCATGTAGCTCTCAGCAGTTGAGGGCAGATGTCGGGTACCTGCTTGGAGTCAGCAGCTTTGGCTAGATGCCACCATACCCATGACCTCCACAGGGCTGCCATGTTGTCTCTCTCAGCTGCTTTGCTTTTTCCCTGCAGAGCCTGGGCCCCTGGATCTCTGGCTCATGAATTGGCAAGACCTGCTGGACTATAGCTGGAATAGCCCTGCAGGACTCATGTTCCTGGCATGGAGTGTGCAGGGCACAGTCTTCCACTTCCCCTGGCATTGGATCCTCCCATAGCCATCAGCCCTTCTATACCCAGGCAGATACCTTGAGAACTCAGGTGCAACCTAAGCACAAAAGTCTGTCTTTGAAGCCTTTAACCAAGCTGTTGTTACTATATCAGGAACAGTGGCCTTATTCAGCAGCTTAACTGAGCACTTACTAGGTACTAGGAAGCCCTGCTTTGACTTGGGGATACAGAGCTACTCAAGAATCCAAGCCTTGGTCTGCAAGAGACAGATGTAAATAAACAAGACCACACTGGTTGGATTATACCTTGAAGAAAAAGAGGCATTTTAGAAAACCATCTCACATGGTGGTCAGAGCCGAGACTCCAGTGACGAGAAGGAGCTGAGGGAAGAGTCTTCGGAAGAAAAGGATAGGGAGGGCACAGCCAAGGTGGAGGGTGCGGGGAGATGGGGTGAGACTGCAGAAAATGGTTCTCTCCCAGGCCCTAGCCCTGCAGGCTGCGCTGAGGACTGAGGCCCAGGCTTGGCTTCTCTCCTGCTTCTGATGGGAAGGTGAGGAAGCAGGGGCGTGGGGAGTAATGTGATCTGATTTATGGTTTGGAAGGATTGCTCTGGCTGCAGCAGGCAAGCAGCCCAGATTGGAGGGGCTCAGAGGAAGGAGGGGGAGAGCAGGGAGAGGTGACTGCAGTGGTCTAGGCTGGGATGAGGCAGCTTGCAGTGTTCTCTGCTCAGAGCCCACTGCTTGCTCAGTTCACTTCCTGGAGATACCTGCTCTGTCTGTCTACCCCTTCTCCTCCTTGATGGAGGAACCACTGGGCCCACCACCACCACCTCCCACCCTAGTATTATCTTGCTCTGGGCCTGGCCTGCAAGATAATCTTGGAGTTACACCTTTCAAGCTGTACACATGCATGCTGTTCACACATGCTCCCACAAGCGGGCATACAGAAGGGCTGGAAGGGCTGGGACAGACCATCTGGGCAGGAATTGGGAGAGCCTGGATGGCAGAAGAATCCCCTTCATTAGGCTGTGTGGTCAGTGGTGACCACAGGATAATAACAACCTTAGCTTACCCTGCAGTCTGTTCCCTCCTCAGGAATGGCCAGGAGGGGGAGAAAGGAACAGAGCCAAAAGCCAGCATCCATCATGGCCTGCTTTGTTCTGAGAAGGCTCATGGACCAAGGCTGAGGCCTACCAGTATCAAGGATGCCTACAGAACTTTCTCCATCTTTCTTCTGTCCATCTAAATGCTTGTAATTTCAAAAGTGAGAAAAAGGGAGCAGAAGCAGTGGTCTGGAAAGCAGCAAGGGGTGGGTGTGGGGAGACCCAAGGCGGGATTAGGTCTTGGAAAGTTAGAGGTTTCCGGCCACAGAGGCAGAGCCTCCTGGAAGCCAAGAGGGGCGGGGAGACACACCAAAAGAAGCCCGAGGCGACCAAAAGCTGAAACAGACCAGATCAGGAGGGGAGGCAGAAAAGAAGGCCTGGCAGGGCGGAGGACCAAGAGGCTGAGCTCTGCCTATAGGACTGGGGCATTCACCAGTCCAAGATCCAAGTCCTGTCCCAGACACTCTGACCTCTACTGGCTTGAGTGCAGGGAAGCCCAGCTGGATGAAGGCAGCCTGGCTCTTGGGGGCCCTAGTGGTCCCTCAGCTTTTGGGTTTTGGTCATGGAGCCCGGGGTCCTGGGAGGGAGTGGGAGGGAGGCTGGGGAGGTGCCCTGGAGGAGGAGCGGAAGCGGGAGTCGCTGATGTTGAAGGTGAGTATTGCAGGGGCGCTGTAGGCTCGATGAAGTGTTGTAGACGTGGGCAAAGACAGTTAATGGGGCTTAGTTGGGGAGATGGGTTCAGAGAAAGAGCGGAGAGGGTAGGTGAGGAGACTGACATGTGTCCTCTACAGGAGGCCCTGGGGCTGCCCACTGGGGTGAGAAACAGAGATAGTCTTGCTGGAGACCCTGAAGGCAAAAGCGTCTGGGGGACCAAGGAGCCGCTAGGAGAAGAGGAGGGAGAGGACACCACCACAGCACCTACTTCCAGGCCCAACCCTTTCTCCAGCCCTTCTCCCACATCAGAGGACACCATCACTTACATCTGTGAGTATCCAGAAGTCAGAATGCCCTGTCTGTATATCATTGGCCCATCTGGAGGCCAGACACATCAGGGGAGCCCCGAGTCCTCAGATGTGCCAGTCAAGAGCCCAAACGGCTGGACCTCGTGTACATAGGCCAGATTACCTCAATCATCCCATTTTTGGCAGTCTGAGAGCCATGCCCTCCCTTGTCCTTAGGGTCCCTGATTGTGCCTCCAGATGCATATCCTGTCCCTTCACAGTGGGCCGCTTGGCCGGCCTGGATGCAGGCCTACACCAATTGCACATTCGTCTGCACTCTTTGGACACCCGTGTGGTCCAGCTGACCCAGGGACTGCGACAGCTGCGGGATGCTACTAGAGACACCGGCGACTCAGTGCAAGCGCTGCAGGAGGCACAGGTCCGTGCTGAGCAGGAGCATGGCCGCTTGGAAGGTGAGTCTCCCCAGCACCGAGAGGACCTAGGTGGCAGGAGGCAACTCGGGGAGGTCTGAAGACCTGGGGACCACGAGTGTCAGGAAACCAGAGGGTCCACGAATTGGCATGTGTTGGCACATCTGGAGCTGGATTGTGAGGTGGGTGAGACACACTCCTCGCTTCAACCTCTGCCACACCCTGGTACCGCCTACACCATGGCCACGCCCCCAGAAGGCCCTAGCTCCACCTCATTAGACTCTGGGCTCCCCTCTGGCCCCATCCTTTTCTAGCCCACAAATGCTTTGGCCCTGCCCCTGACAGCCTGGCCAGGCCTCATTGGTCTCTGAAGTTCTAATCCCTCCCATTGTCCACGCCCTCTCTGTCTTCAACGCTCCGGCTCCCCCAAATTAGTTTCCGACCCCCGAAGGACTGTCTTTTTTAGCCACGCCCCCAGCAGCCCTGTCTTGGCCTCCCAGGTCACCCCTGTTCTAACTCTGACTCCGCCCTCTTCCCGCCCCTAAAGCTATGACTCCGTCCCCTTCAGCCCTAGCTCTGCTTCATTGGTCTCTCCTGCCAGAGCCTTGGCTCCGCCCCCAGCAGGCCTGCCTCGACCTCATTGGTCATCGCAGTTCTAACCCTCCTTCACCTGGCTCAGCCCTCTGCCCTAAAGCTCTGCTAAACTGCTCTGGCTCCTCCCTTTACCTACAGGCCCCGCCCCCTCCCGCCTCTTGAAACCTTAGTTCCGCCTCATTGACTACCCAAAAGCCTAGCTCGGGCCCCGCCCCCTCCTGCCCCCATCTTCTGACTCCGCCTCACCATGCACACAGGCTGCCTCAAGGGCCTGCGCCTGGGCCACAAGTGCTTCGCGGGCCGCGCTCGCCCCCTACAACTGGCCGGTGCAGCTGGGCGTGAGCGACAGGCGTTCGGAGGGGCTCTACCTTTTCGAGAACGGGCAGCGCGTGTCCTTCTTCGCCTGGCACCGCGCACCCAGCCCGGAGCCCGGCGCCCATCCTAGCGCGGCATCCCATCCGCTCAGCCCGGATCAGCCCAATGGCGGCGCCCTGGAGAACTGCGTGGCGCAGGCCTCAGACGACGGTTCTTGGTGGGACCACGACTGTGAGCGGCGCCTCTACTTCGTCTGCGAGTTCCCCTTCTAGAGAGCCGGTCCTTGCCCCAGGGCAAGCACACATTCTGCACCGCGCACCCTACTGTCTGCGGTCGCTCAGAGCTTCACAATAACCCACGAATAAATTTCAACAAGAAGAGGCTTTTTCTTGTAGATATTGGCACCCAGACTGACTGGTGCCAGGTCTGCACCTGAGAGCACTCCATAGATGCAGCCCCTAGCCGTATCAGCCCAGAGCTTATAAAGGCAAAACCTATGTTTTACATACAGTTTGCCCACATGTAGGCAGGGGCTTATTTTAACATATATGTCTTGCCGTTGTCCTAGTCATCTTTTGAGTAGAGTGAACAAGTTCAATCATAAAAGCAGAGGTAGCAGCCTTACTATCTTGGTAGAACAGCACAGTTTTACAAGATTAGCCACTTTTAAGAAGTCTAACTTCTGGGGGTAAAGGGGCTGTACAAGCCAGGGACTTACGTGTTAGAGCCTTTTTTTTTTTTGCTTCTGGTCTCTTAAGCGTAGTAAGTCTAAACTTTAAATGTAACGGTTCTACATCACACCTACAATGTGCACTCTGCAGTGTACCCTGCCTGCCTCGTGCACCCTGAGCCGCACACTCTATGCATCCTACTTGACGCTCTACATAGTGCACCTGCCTGCATCTTGAACCCTCCTTGGGCCCGAAGTGCCACCAATCCAGGCTGGTTGGGCTCCCCCAGAGATAGCCTATGCAACCTCTCCATGTGTGCTTGAAGCTTCAAGCTCCCAGCTAAGCTCAGTGACAATAAACGCTTCTGTAATGTAATTTTGAGGGGCTGTGGAGACATCTGGCCTTTATCTTGCCTGGGGAAAGTTAGAAAGGGCCAGACCCTGACTTTGGATACTTGTACTTGTCTTTTTAAAACACAGACTGTCGGAGAGCACATGTGCATAGGAACACGTGGTTGTGCACAGATGTCTGGCGTGTTGTAGATGCCAACAAACCAGCTTGCTTCCTCATGGGGCCTTTAGGACCTGAGCCCTGTCATTGTCTTAGATGTTGGCCTTGCTCCTGAGCAGAGAGTCCAAGGAAACATGAAGGTGTGCGCTAGGTCCTGACATTTAATCTTGTTTTGTGTTGACCAGTGTCTCAGACCTGCTTTCCCGGGGGGGAGGGGGGGCACCATTTAATCAAGGCCATTCCAAAGAGAGATACACCGCATTAAGTCTCACAACCTCCAGAGCATGTGGTCAGACACAAATCAAGGACTTCCCCATGGGAGCACTCAGGTTCCTTCTGTTTTCCAGTCTTCCCCTCTCTGAACCCACGTCTCCTGTGGGTCCTCTAGCAAGCCCACCTTCTTCCATGTGGTGTTGGCCTACATTTCCCATGCCTGAGGATCACACCCCTGACAACGAACTAAAAGATCAGACATTCTCTCCACCCACCTGGCTTGCCCCATGCACTCAGAAAATATAGTCCAGTCTCTGGATTGTTACACAGTAGCGCCTTTCCAACAGTGTTGAAAAAAAAGAAAAAAAACTGGAAAAAAAAAACTTGTGAATTTTCATTGGCAGATGGTAACATTTTTAAAAGTGGAATTGCTTCATATAAAAATATATACATATGTGTAGGAAATGGTTAGAAAATTTGGGTGTCAACTGTTAATCCCAATTTTGAGAAAGATCACCACTCTAAATCATCATGACCAAATTAATTAAAGTAAGCAAATAATTAATGCAAACCTTTTTATTTGTGTATACTGGCTGCCTCCCCCTAAGGTGGGGTTCAAGAGGCCAGTCACTGAATGTGAGGAAGAACAAGGTTTTTACAGCTCAGGGGTAGGGGGTTTCCAAATGTGGGATTTGGTGAGCAAAATAGGTGGGTTACAAGAGAAGAACACAGGATAGGTTGGTCTTAATGACCCCTAAAACAAACAGGACTGAAGAAGGCAGTCATAACAACATTTTGAAACAAAGGTAGGGTTGCAACCTTTTGAAACAAAGACATGTTGGTGGTTTCCTGGAACAGGAAGTACAGAACCATTTGTAGTTAAGGTTACAGGTAGGGCATAGCCTAATCCATGAGAAACAGGAACCAGCCCAGTTTTTCTTTACTATAAAATGGCTTTTAAGCCTAGGCTGGAGGCAGGCTGGTTCGTCACAACATTACTGAATAGAGTTTTAGAAACACACATGAAAACTCTTTGCAGCCAGAAGTGGAGGGAAGATGAGGCAGAGGCCAGCAATATTCTTTTAAAATATGTTTCACCTGCTAGTGGGTGTTGAACCCAGAGCCTCACACATGCTAGGCAAACGTGTTACCACTTATCTGGACCCCCAGCCCTCAAACGTTTTATTTTACTTGGAAAATAATCGCCAATGCTTCACCACAACAACCTAGATAGTGACAAGGAACTAAGATTCATCTTTTTATATAAAAAAAATTAAGAACCAACAAAATTACTCTGCAGGCCAAAGCTTGTGGCCAAGACTGACAACCAAGCTTGAACACTGGGACCTATGTGGTAGAAGGAGAAAATTGCCTGCAAGAAGCTGTACATGCCCCCCCCCACAAAGCTGTACATGTTCCCCCCACACAAGAAGCTGTACATGCACCACACACACACACACACACACACACACAAGAAGCTGTACATGCCCCTCACACACAAGAAGCTGTACATGCCCCCACACACAATAAGCTGTACATTCCCCACACATACTCATAATAAAGTAAAGTAAAATAGAAAGGCAGAACTATCATCTGTTTCTTGCCTGGAAGATTACAGGTCACCTTAAAGATTCTGGGAATGGGGCTGGTGATTTGTCTCAGTAGATAAGATAAATTGCCACCAAGCCCAACAACCTGAGGACTTGATTTGATGCCTGGGATCTACATGACGAGCGAACCAACTCCCAGAAATTAACCTGAACAATACAATATGAAGACAGAAATGCTTTTTCTGTGAAGATGAGCATATTGTGGAGATAAGAGGGCAAACAATTTGCAGGAGTCACTTTTCTCCTTCCACATGACACGATTGGGCCCTCAAGTCATTAGACTTGGTGACAAGCTCCTTTACCTACTGAGCCATCTCATAAGTCCCCAGCCCAAAATCCTTGTTGGTGACCAAGTGACTGAGATCTTGCCAACAAGAAAGATGGATTACTCCATTTTCCAGACATGCTTTCAGATACCGCAGTGGTAAAATGATAGTGTCCACCCACAAAAGGAGTTTTGAGAGCTAAGGTGCATCCCTGGGCAGTGCATCCCTGTACTGTGGATGGAGAGGTGGGCAGATTTTTATGGCTCTGGCTAGTTTTGATTCCTCAATATAGACTTTCCTTCCTTTTTGTTCTTTCTAACTACATGTACTACTTTTCCTTCTCTCCCTTCCTCCCTCCCTCCCTTCCTTTCTTTATTTTTAGGCATTTAGTGGTTAATGTTACATATCCTGGACCTGAATTCACCAGCATCATTGAAAGCATTTCTGGTGTAAGGGTATCTTAGCAGTGGGGAGCCAAGGAATACCACAGAGTCATACCACACAACAAACCTTGATGCGTGAGCTCACAGAGGTAATAAAAACTAATTTATTAAAGGGTGCAATGAAAGGAACAAACTCACAAAATACAGAGTAAGGGTGAAGCTACCACTGATCCTGCACTGCCTCTCGGCTGCTTGGTTCTCCCACTCCACCAATCAGCCAATCATGAGCCAGAGCAAGAGAGAGCAATCAGGCTCTTGTCTCAGGCTTATCAGTCTCCAACATAGCACCCCAGGCCTTGCTCTAAGGCTGGTACCCAAAGCTATTGTTGGAATGAATTCCCACAACACTTCCCCCTTTTGTCTAAATAAGAGGGTTCTAAACCCAATACAAACCTATATACAATAAGAACAAATATCAAGTACCATCCAGGAGAAAGAAAGGGTAATAACATACACAAAATATAGAACTACAGCTAACTAGAAGACATCAAGCAAGAAACACATACTAAGGATCCAGGCTATAGGTAATTAGCAAATAACATTAATTGTTCCAAAAGCTGTCATATCCAGAGGAGTGTAAGTCTAATATCTAAAATGCCTTAGCTAAAATATGAGAGCATAGTGACTGTGATTATCTAGTCTTCAACCCCATCAAAGACCTGAGAAGGAAAATAATATTACCTGAGTAAGCAGGAAGTGCAAGCAGGCAAGACAGAAACAGCTGGCTACCTGGACAGTCACACAAAATCTCTCTACAACAGTGTGGAAACCAACTTTGGCTATAGGCCTAGAATATCTGAGGTAGGAAAATTAGAAAAACTGTCCTACCCTGTCTTGGCAAGGTTCGGTGGTCGCTTTTCCCTGTATCCTGCTTGTCTAGTTAGGACAGTGTGCTTCCTGTCAGCAGTCCACGCAAGGGCAGTTTTCTGCCCATAGGCCAGTTTTGCCAAGAAGAAAACAAGCTCCAAATGGAGTATCTCCAGTGCCCAACATCCTCTCAGGATTAGATTGGTGCTGCTGGGAGCAGTTGTGTCTCATGTCAACAGAGTTCTAAGTTATTAAAACATTTAAATGCCATATTCTGTAGGTCTTTAAAGTATTTGAAGATTACCTATCTATGTGAGTACATCTCTGTGCATCTAGAGAACCTAACTAACATAACCGTAAGTATGACAAACATGGGTGACTATAACCTGTAATTCTTAATAAACTACATAGCTTACAGACTAAAGCTTCCCATTAAAAAATAAACAATCTTCAAACAGATGTGCAGCATGAGGACAATGATCTTAAAAACTGTAACAATGTATAAAAATATATTAATCAGAAGTAGAAATGCATAGTGCAATATAATAAAAATATTCTTAATTTGTATCAATATACAAAATACCTTAAGCAGAAATAGAAACATACATTCAGAATGACAAAAATAATCTTATATTTGTGTGCAAAAACACTGTAAACAGAAATAGGAATGTACACAATATGACAAATATAATTATTTTAGGAATACAAAAATAATTTTACATATATATCAATATACAACAATCTATATCAATGTAAATTGCCTATAACTAATAGTTGCTAAAATAGTTTACAAGTAGATAAACTAATCTACCTAATTATCCTATCTTATCTATTCCCCTTTTTTCTGTACCAAATGAG